TATCTCACTTTTTTAAGGTAGAATAGGCTATTAACAGACCTGGAAAGAGGGTGAGACTTTGCAAATATCCTGGGGAGAAAAGTGTGGAAGTGGGGTGTTGCTTGTTGAACAGAGAAAGAATGTTCATTCTGTGTATCCCCTAAGAATTTTTTCAATTTCATTTCAGATTGTACTTTAAGTAAAAACTGCTTTTGAGTTTTTAAAGTGTTAATATATATTAAAATTGAGGGCAATTAAAAAAAAAAAGTCATCTACATTCGAAATTCTACAGTTTTTTTAAAAGACGTGGCAGCATTTAAATATCTGGGAGATTCTTTTTCTTATATTAGGTGTAACTGCTTCTCTGTGGGGGAGGAGGTAAGAAAACTTTATCCCCAAATTTTCTCCTTTTGCCTGATTCCTTTTTCTTGAAGCAAAGGTGGCTATCAGTTATGATGTGGTATACGTTCAAAACAGTTCCGTGTTTTCTTTTTAAAGCTGTGGTGTTGTATGAAATGAAAATCCATTTAGAAAGAGGAAAATAGCCAATAACGGTAGATTTCTCAACCAGAGTCTTAGTTCAAACAAGCTAAGAGTCTGCCTGATTCTTCTGGTAACAATGCAGCAGTTCATTGGTGGGTACTAAAAAGTAATACGATCCTTTGTAGTGAAATTGAAGAGAAGCGATGATTGAATTAAAGGATAGTTTAAAATACTTTCTTGTGCTCACAGTAATTATGAAGCATTATAAAACTATTTGGTAGTGGAAACTGTAGTACCGTTAAAAGACAGTCTGCAGCAAAGTCATTCAATAGTATGTTATCTTTCCTCTGAGTAAAAAAGATAACTTATGTTAGAGAATGTGAAACTGTTTTTTCAACTATTTGGCCTCTTCCAATTGCCTTTCCCTTCTTTCACTCATTATTTTGGTATGACTTACTTTGAATTTAATAGTTCTCAGGATCCATCTGCAGCTTCTTTCTATAACTTAACCAGAACATTTGGAGCTGGACTTCCTCAGACTGAATCCAGAATTTTTATAAAAAGAGGACGCTTGGAGTCAGCAGAATCCTTCAGGTAGGAAGAGAGAATTTTTACGTTGTAAGAAAGATAAGGGATGGTGCATAATAAAGCTGTAAGGGATCTTACTCTTTAGATCTGCAGAATATACCATATTTTCCTCCACAAGATCACTGTGTACTGCAAAAATGTGGCCTGAAGCTTTCTGGGAGCTGGATATGGTGGAACCGAGGAGGAAGGTGTCAGGAGCTGTCGGGAGGAGAGCCATGTGCTCTGAGGAGGCACTGTGGCTGCGTGTGAGAACACATTCCTTGTTGTCATGGCTTAGCTATACATCATCTCCAGCATGAAGTTGTAACTAAATTGTGACCTCAACGGGAAATAATTAAGTCATCAAATGTAGTAGGAATGTTTAAAAATCTGGCAACTCTTCCTCTGTATTTTGGAGTGGCAATTCGAGCACAGCTTTCTGGATTTGAGAGCCTCTGATGTCTTGTTGCCATAGAGTTATGTTAATTCTGCTGCAAACTTGATAAGCATCACATACAGACTCCTTCTTAGCACCATGTTGGATCAGATTTGTCAGCCCCTGGCAGCTATGCAGGGATAGGAGAGGAAAACCTTCCTTCAAAGATGGGATGACTGTAGTTTCACTCACAGCATGTTCATCGCAAAGCAGTGGTTATGCCCTGATGTTTTACCTCTTCAAAGGTAGAGTTGAATCAGGGCTTTGACCTCCCATTACCTAATTCTGTATATGAAAAGTGAGAAAAGAGAGCTTTGTGGAAGGTGCTAATCAGGGATGATCTCAAAATAGCAATCATTGATCTCCATTTAATCATTGCAAAATGAATCATGATGTATATGTTAAAAACTAAGAACCCTCTCTTACATCCACTCTTACAGTCTGTGACGTACTGCTATCCCATCAGCCAGGAACCCTGCCCTATATCAGACCAATGTATCAGCATGTGTCTGTACCGCCTGTATGCCCTGACTCCTCAGGCTGCCTTTCTGGAATGCACAGGCTCCTCACTAGTGTTTCTTTTGAGTCATTAGCAATGGGGGCTCTAGTGCCACCGCCTATTTTCCTGGCTTTTACACCCTCAAGGAGCTCAAAGAATCATAGAATCATTAAGGTTGGAAGAGACCTCTAAGATCATCGAGTCCAACCGTCAACCCAACACCACCATGCCTACTAAACCATGTCCCTAAGCGCCTGATCTACACGTCTTTTAAATATTTCCAGGGATGGTGACTCAACCACTTCCCTGGGCAGCCTGTTCCAATGTTTAACCACTCAAGGAAAGTCTACTTCCTCACAAAGGTTGGTCAGGTATTCATTTTCCCAAAGATCAGAGCCTGAGAGGAGGAATGAGTAGGGAGGGGGAGAGAGAGAGATCTGTTCTAGGAGAATTTCAGGCTGAAGCGTCTGTGTCTCTAGTTTGCTTTGCTGGAATAAATGAGGCCTCTGGAAGTGGGATCCTGGCTTTGGCTCTGTTCTTTGCTTGCATCAATGAGTGTTGAGATCCCTTCTTGCTTGCATGGGATAGAGCTGTAGTGAATAGAGCAGTAAGGGAGAGGACTACAGAAGGCATTTCTCCAGCATGGATCTCACAACAGGAAATGAAATCCCCCACGACAGGAGCTTGTTCATTTTGTTATAAGGGCTATTAGTTACTTTCCAACAGGCCCAAGGCTTTTGTGTAGTGAATATGATTTTTTTTTCCTTTTTTCTCTTACATTGTTTGTCACATAGTCGCTGAGTCTAATGACAAGTGCTGTTTCTCTAACCATAAAGCCCTCTCACTGATCACTAGTGAAGGAGAAAGAAGGACCAGAAGAAGAGCAGTAGGAGAGAACTACAGTCAATACATACCATAAAACCAAAATAATTGCAATAAAAAGGAATATTCTATTTTTTACTTACAGTAATTAAAGTATTAAAAAAAAATTAAGGCAAAAAAAGCTGGGACTACATCAGTGTGAAGGACCTCAATCCTGAGACACTTACCGGTGGTGCAGCTTCGGAGAATAATGCCAGGCCAGCTAAGAAAACAAGAAATACAGAATGAAAAGCCATTTTGCCTACCACTAGGAAGTCTCAGTGTCAGCAAGTAGAAATTGGTGGGATCTGTGATTTTTATATCAAGGCCTCTAAAATGAGGCTACTTATCAGAAAACCCATATGACTTTCTACATGCTGATTCATACTATTTACTTAGTAAACAATAAGAAAATAAGTAACTCATACAAACATGAACCTTGTCTGCAGAAATAAGTCTCTTCTATCATTTCTGTGGAACTATTGTGAATATTGCCTAGCTCAACTGCAGTGATATATTTTCTTGGAAACAATGTCTATTCTGTTTTATTTTTCTCTTCTTGTTGAGGAATAGTGCTGTATGCATCTCATATAGTTGAGAGAAATACAAATTTCTTGTCCACTTGGCAATTTCAGTTTCAGTGAGAATCTCTGTGGTTATAGCTTGGCTTAATTGACTCACACATATTTATCTGTTACGAGATTTCTCTCTGTGGTGGCCTTGCCCGCACCTGTGATAAAAGGTAAATGGATAATGTGTGGGCTATCTAGTTATCTTATGAATTCCCCTGAAGGAAAAATATGTTACTTTTGGTTTCCAGCCTGATAAATAGATACCTACATACCCGTTTCTGGAGCACAGTTAAACAGTGTTTTAAGTCCTGTCACTTTACTTGTGCCTTAGATTCAATACAAGTTCAGGACTTTCCCTGTACAACTGCAAGTCAGCCCCCACCAGAAGTCTGTGCTTCATTTTAGGGAACTGTCACTTCTTGAAATTAAACTTTGTCTTTCTGATCTTCACTTAAATGCATGCACATACGCTCTCTTACTCAGTTTATCCTGTCCTCGGGGGGATGACTACATGCAGAGGAGTTTTTTGGTTTGGTTTTTTTTTATGACTACACCACGACTGTATGAACATACTTATCCCCTATTTTGAGGGCTGGGCGTAGCCCACTGCAAACCAAACCTACTGGTTCTCAAGCTCTAGGAATAGTAAGATCCCATGAAATCTGCACGCTTTAAGATGGGTGCTGTTTTGGAACTATTTGCACTGCTTAGAAGAGTTGTGTAACTGTGGTAGTGTCTAGAAATCAGGGAAAAAAGTAACCAAATAGTGAAATGTTAAAGGCAAGCTTTTTTAACTTGTGAATTCACTTGGTATGCAGTCATCCCAGCAGGCTCTGGGTGTAGAGATAAACTCCAAGGTCAGTGGCAGACGAGTGCTGATGGTTTCTGAATGGCATGATTTCAGTAACAATCTCTGTAGTTTCTGTAATCCTGTTAAACAACAATTCCTCTGCATCAGGATATTTTAAATACAATAGGCCATCAGTTACAGAAATCACTGCTAAAGCCCTCAAACTCTTTGGTCAGTTTATCAACAATGTTATTTGAATCACAGTCACTCTACAGCTTACCTTTTACTGTTTCTAAAAATATGAAGAGACTGCTAAGATGATGCTTCTATTTTAGGACTCTTTTTAATAATGGCTAGAGATTTGACTTATTAGAGATTTAGTTGGAATGCACCTGAATACAGTAGCCAACTGGGTTAAAGATCAAAATTGTTAAAAAGGGTGCTAACTGAAATTGCTTCAGAACTTCCTAGATTGAGCCGCAAACTTTCCTCTTGAAATGACAAAATGTTGAGGTTTGCCTGAAGTTTTAAGTAAAGGTACACACATTTTAACTCTTTCAGCTCTCTGGATATATATATTTCAACAGTCTTTCTGCATTGTTTGTTCTGCTGCTAGGTATTCAGTATTTCTGGTATTTACCCTGTGACCTAGTTGATAGTGAGATTTTTTAAGGTAGTGGAGGAAGATAACAGACCCAAATCAAGTGTTAATTTGCTTCCATATCCCATGCATGGCTTCCAGATGTCCTCTGCACTTGAACACAAATCATGACACCTTAGAACACAATAAAATTTCACCAATAGAATCAAAACTGTTTTAAAGAAGTAACATTTTATTGACTTGTCTGAAGTTTGCCAGGTTACAAAATGGAAAAAAAAAACCTAATGTAGCAAAAAGTTATGCATTAGTAGAAGGAAAAACCTTCCTCCTAAAAGCCTACGATAGTTCTAGCAGAGGAGGGTATTTGTGTAATGACAGTACATGTTTATTCCTGGGGATCACTGACAACAGCAGTGGTTGAATAAGAGAAAGGACTGAGGAGAGCGGCAATGGTATAGTGGCGGTGACCGGAATCATTAGCAGTGAACACCACCTGGAAAAGAGAAAACTTGTGATCATGATGAACAATGAACATTCAGACCTACCTTATTAAGCATTAGCACACACACTCCATTTCTTCTGCAGACTACTTTGCCAGTTCTGTTCAATCAATGATTTCACCGTTCTGAAGGGTAATGCTCCCCATTACTTTGGGATGCTCGCTGAAGACTGAGAAATTTCTGAGATTTGGACCCAGGTCCTCAAAGAATCATAGAATCATAGAATAGTTTGGGTCGGAAGGGACCTCTAAAGGTCATCTAGTCCAACCCCCCTGCCGTGGGCAGGGACATCTTCAACTAGATCAGGTTGGTCACAGCCCCGTCCAGCCTGACCTTGAATGTTTCCAGGGATGGGGCATCCACCACCTCTCTGGGAAACCTGTGCCAGTGTTTCACCACCCTCAGCATAAAAAATGTCTTCCTTAGATCTAGTCCATATCTACCCTCTTTTAGTATATTTAGTATATAATAGTA